TGTTATTCTCCAGATCTCAAAAGGTACTTAGTGTCTGTCGATGTCACATTCCATGAAAATTATTCGTTATTTTCTTCATATGTTTATAATAGTCCCGAGGAAGAAGATGATACTTTGGTCTACACTGTCACACATCCAGTTAGTTCTCCAACACCTCTTCCTCATTCACCCGTTTCCCTCGATCGACCATCCGAGCAGCCACCTGTTCTTCGTGTGTATACCAGGCGACAACAAACCTCAGAACCTGATCATTTACCTACTTCTGCTTCGTCGGTAGATCCAACCTGATCCTAGTTTGGATCTTCCTATTGCCATTCGCAAAGGTACACGACAATGTACTTATCCTATTTCTTCTTTTGTGTCTTATGACCATTTGTCTACTTCTTCTAGCTCGTTTATTGCATCATTAGATTCTGCTAGGATACCTAAAACTGTTCGTGAAGCATTGTCCCACCCAGGTTGGCATGATGCAATGATAGAAGAGATGATGGCTTTAGATGAGAATGGTACTTGGGAGTTGGCCGATCTGCCCACTAACAAAAAGGCTATTGGGTGCAAGTGGGTATTTGCTGTTAAGTTTAACTCCGATGGGACAGTAGCTCGCCTTAAGGCACGCCTTGTTGCAAAAGGGTATGCACAGACCTATGGAGTCGACTATTTGGATACTTTTTCCCCGGTCGCCAAGTTAGCTTCTGTTCGATTATTCATTTCCATGGCAGCTACTTATGATTGGCCTCTGCATCAGCTTGATATAAAGAATGCTTTTCTACATGGAGATCTTCAGGAAGAAGTATATATGGAGCAACCACCTGGGTTTGTTGCTCAGGGGGAGTGTGGAAAGGTATGTCGTCTTCGAAAATCTCTTTATGGGCTGAAACAGAGTCCCCGTGCTTGGTTTGGCAGATTTAGTGAGGCTGTTCTAGAATATGGGATGAAGAAAAACAATTGCGATCATACGGTGTTTTATAAAAAGTCTGATGATGGTATTCTTTTATTGGTAGTATATGTTAATGACATCGTTATTACTGGAAGTGATATTACAGGAATTTCAACTCTAAAGTCTTTCTTTCACACTCAATTTCAGACGAAAGATTTTAGGCAACTAAAGTATTTTTTGGGAGTTGAAGTTACACGAAGCAAGAAAGGCATCTTCTTGTCCCAAAGGAAATATACTCTTGACTTGTTAGCTGAAACTGGAAAGTTGGGATCTAAACCATGCAGCATGTCAATGGTTCCTAACACACAACTCGTGAAAGAAGACGGTGAGTTATTCGAAGATCCAGAGAAATATAGGAGATTGGTTGGGAAACTGAACTATCTTACAGTAACTCGTCCCGATATCGCATACTCTGTCAGCATTGTGAGTCAGTTTATGTCTTCCCCAACAGTCAGGCATTGGGCGGCTCTGGAGCAGATTCTTTGTTATCTAAAGGGATCTCCAGGACGGGGTCTAGTATATAAGAATAATGAACACACTAACATTGAGTGTTTCACAGATGCAGATTGGGCAGGGTCAAAAGCCGATAGGAGATCCACGACAGGATATTGCGTTTTTGTTGGTGGAAACTTGATTTCGTGGAAGAGTAAGAAACAAAATGTCGTATCTCGATCTAGTGCGGAAGCAGAATACAGAGCTATGGCACAATCTGTGTGTGAGGTTGTATGGGTACATCAACTATTAAGTGAAGTTGGCTTCCAAACTACATTGCCAGCAAAGTTGTGGTGTGATAATCAAGCTGCTCTTCATATCTCCTCTAATCCTGTATTTCACGAAAGGACTAAGCACATTGAAATAGATTGTCACTTTGTTCGTGAAAAGATTCAACAAAAGCTCATCTCTATAGGTCATGTTAGAACTGGAGATCAATTGGGAGACATTTTCACAAAAGCTTTTAATGGAGCTCGAGTTGAATATATCTGTAACAAGTTAGGCATGATCAATATATATGCTCCAACTTGAGGGGGAGTGTTGACATACAAGTTGTCTAGGACATGTATACACATGTATTACATCATAGCTAGCACATGTATATGAGTTGTATAGTAGGTGTAATACAAGTTGTATAGCACATGTATACACATGTACTACATCATAGCTAGCACATATATATGAGTTGTATAGTAGGTGTAATACAAGTTGTATAGCACATGTATACACATGTACTACATCATAGCTAGCACATATATATGAGTTGTATAGTAGGTGTAATTAGGTGTATGGCAACTAATAGAATAAGTGAATTAGTATTATAAATAGGCCTTTTAATCTTCTCTTCTAGATATGAAATATAGAACTTCTTTGGTTTCTAACAGTAAACATACCAGAAAATTAAGGGGAATTAATAAATAGTACATATACATATAATATTTTCTTTTTACCTGCCTACACAGTGTATTTTTCCTGCAAAGGGATGTTGTTTGACACCCCTTCCTATAAGGTGGCTCTGCCGCAGCGATCACGTTTGGTACACTTTTTCAACTTATGTATAACTAATACAAACATTAGTTATATTAGTTATACACCCTATTTGGTATTATTCTATGTATAGCTAATGCATACCAAACTATGGTATTAGCAATACCAAGACTATTAATGCATGCATCAGCATGGTTAAAGACAAAATTACCCTTAAAGTCCCTTAAAGCTAAAGAATATTGAGGATATTTTTGTAAACAAGTAATTTTCTTAAAAATCATGCAATGCATTTTAATTTTTAATACACAACACTAAGAATGGCTAAAAAATAATCTCTCCATAACTAATGCTTGCATTACGAATCCATATATTATTAATCAGTGCATTACTAATACAATTTATTCAAGACTATTCTTGTACACTCTACCATACGACCCTTAGAGTTAGTTCTATGCACTGACGACATCATAGCAAGTAACAGCAGAGAATTACATATAATAAAACATCAATTAGCAACTCAAGTTAAAATGATAAGTAAAACATCATAGCATATCTGATCACCTAATCAGTTTATGTTCATAATAAGAAGTAAAGATTAATTAACCTTGACATAGAGGACACCATCAATCGAAATGCTGACATTATCCTTGGTAATGGCGGTCTGATCAGGTATGGGAATAGCCTCTTCCTTGAGTGAATGCGCATATGCAACTCTATCAATAAAAGGGACCAATAGGTGAAGTCCAGGTGTCAATGTTTTCACATATTGCCCAAACCGCTCCACAACATACGCCTTCTTCTCTGGTACTATGTGAATTCCCCAATTTACCGGCGCCCGTACATAATACCTTCAAAAGAAAACATTAAATCAATCGCTACAAACTTTTTATTAAGTTAGCGTTTGGTCATAGATTTTCAAATTTATTTTAAAAATTTTATTTGGGTGAAGTTTGGTTCGAAGATGAAAATATGTTTGGACATAATTTTTCAAAACATATTTCATTTTTTTTTTAAAAAATATGAAACGTGACTTATACCCATAAGTTCTAAAACCTATCAAAAATAGGTAACAATACCAAACAAACAAACTTGTTAATCATGTATATGGAGAACCTTCATTGATGACATTCATTATCATTATCACAAACCATAGTCCCGAACATAGATAAGTTTGACACAAAATTATCATTTTTATAATTAACTACATAATACACAATATAAAATCATAACCTGATATTTTAATATCAACTGCGGATAACACAATTACTAGCTACTACAATTCGTCAAATTGCAATAATATTACAAGATTCATCAGTCAAAAAAAATGATAGTAACTAGCTCGTGGATTAGTTAGTTGGATCATAACAGATGATGAGTTTTTTTATAAAATACAAAATTTTGGGGTAATTTTAAAATTATTAAAATATTCAACAGTAATATTTTGAGCGAAAGAACTATAGAGTTTTAGGATTTGGAAATTTTGTTTAATCTGCCAAAATATGGATAAAATCAATAAACAAACAGATTTTGCCAAATATTTTTTGGAAAAAACTCGGCAAAACCTATGACCAAACGGGGCTAAGAAAATACAAAGCAAATATTTTACGTACTTGGCGTAGGGGTCGCGAGAACTAAAAAAATGGCGTGCGGAAGTGAAGGAAGGGGATAGTTGACGTGGGGGGAGCTGATTGGAGAGAAGAGAAGATTGTTTCGTAATTAGAGAATTAGGTGATATGGAGATTGCTCTGGAAATCATGATGATACAAGGTGAATGAAGTTGGTGATTTAGCTGCCGAAGCTTGTCCATTGAGCTTGATTTTGCCATGTTCCGTATTCCTATTCCAATTGATAATTAGGAATTTTGGAGTAGAAATTAAATAGTAAGATCGATGGAGAATGGAGAGGAGGGTTTTATGGTGTATACCTAAAACCCTTGCTCAAGTTATTAATTTTACTCTTTCTTGTTCTTCAAGACTCTGGTGTTTTAATTATGGTAAATAACATCAAGCAGATATAATTTTTCGAAAGTAAATAAACTTATTTCTAATTATAAAAAGTAGTAAGTACTTTAGTTGATTTTACAAAGTGGTGCAGAGTGTGGATTTTATAGAATTATAAATATTTAAGACGAACTTGAGAAAAGAAAAAAAAAAGAGGGAAAATATTAATGCTACTAGTTGGTCTGTCACACGTACGTTTCTTGGTTTGCCAATGCACTGCTCGAATGAATCTTCACTTCCTATCTCTAAAGGATCCAATGAATACCGAAGAATTGAAGAGGAATCGTATGAGGTACGATTTTGTAGGGTGGCAGTAAAAGTGACTTATTTGTCAATTTTACCACTTATCACCCCAAAAATAAGTTCAATTAACCTCTGAATTTGAAATCATTGCTTATATACCCCGTATGGGCTCTCACCTTTGCATTGGTTTCCTTTACAAAATTCTAATTTGTATTAGAGCAGAGCAAGGTACAAGTACACATGAAACTGCTTGTAGTTTAATACAAGCCTTTCTTTCTTGATTTGCAGGGTGCGGTTTTCCTTGGAGCTGGAAGGTACAATCAATTATGATAGTGTTTAAGTTATTTACGTTCTGCTAATCGTAGTCTAGTGTTTGACTCACATCCAGTGGCGGACTCAGAATTTTGTGCAAGCGGGTTTAATTTTAGAAATACATAACTTTAATCGTAAAATAGTAGTTGTTAAGTGGGCTCAAATAAAATATATATACAGAATTTACGCAGCTTTAATCGCAATTTATATATATACACATTTTTATTTTTTTATGAAGTGGGTTCAACTTGCCACCACGTGTGTCCGTGTGATGACCCAAAGGGTCATCTTCTGTTTTAGAACTCAATTTCGTGCTCTCAAGTCTTCAAAACCTCATTTTATCTCTTCTCGATTTGCGTGCGTAGTCCGGGCATGATCCCGGAAAACCTTTATTTGGAAAATTTATGAAATAATAATTTTTGGCCTAAAAAGTTAATTTTTGTAGACTTCGGTCAACGTTTTTGGGTAAACGGATCCAGACCCGTGTTCCGACGTTCTCGGAGGGTCCGTAGTAAAATATGGGACCTGAGTATATGCCCGGAATCGATTTCCGAAGTCCCAAGCCCGAGATATGAATTTTTGATGAAAATTATAATACTAAAAATCTAGGGAATTAAAGAAATTGATTAATGATTGATCTCGTTGGTATCAGGCCCGTATTTTGATTTTGGAGCCCGGTACAAGTTTAATATAATATTTAAGTCATGTCTGTGAAATTTGGTGAAAAACGGAGTTTATTTGACGTGATTCGGACCTTTGGTTGAGAAATAGAAGTTTTGAAATTGTCTTGAAAATTTCATGCAATTTGGTGCTAAATTCATAGTTCTAGGTGTTATTTTGGCAATTTGATCATGCGAGCAAGTTCGTATGATGTTTTAAGGTTTGTGTGCATGTTTGGTTTGGAGCCCCGAGGGCATGGGTGAGTTTCGGATAAGTTACAGAGTGTTTTAGACTTAAGAAAAATAGCTGGTGTGCTTCAGTTGCGTTGCAAGCCTCAAACCTCGCAAATGTGAGGTCGGGGTTCGCATTTGCGATCACTATTGAGGTCGTATTTGCGAGCTTCTCATCACAAATGCGAAGAGAAGCTGGGCCAGCTAGTGTTCGCAATTGCGAACTTTCCTTCGCATTTGCGAAGGGAGTCTAGGAAGGGTATGATCGCAAATGCGATCTTTTACTCACATTTGCGAGGAACAGTGTTCGCAAATGCGTCATTTTCCTTGCATTTGCGAAGGCAGCATGATTGTGAAGGGCTTCACATTTGCGATGGCTCTTTCGCATTTGCGATGGCTCTTTCGCATTTGCGAAGCTCATGTCGCAAATGCGACATCTGCAGCTGATAACTTTGAACTTAGACGGGATTTTTCATTCATTCTCCCATTTTTCAAAACCTAAACTTCAAGAGGCGATTTTCCAAAGGTTAGTTTTTACTTTTTCCCCAAATCATAGGTAAATGACTCTTAACTCATTTCTTTCAATCTTTTACTTCTTTCAGAAGATTTCATCCTAGAATCTAAGGTTTTTCATGGTGGAACTAGGGATTTTTGGGTAGAACTTAGAAATTTCGAAATTTGGGGATTTAGACCTCAAATTGAGGTCGGATTCAAAAACCAATTGTATATTTGGGCTCGTGGGTGAATAGGTGAATAGGTTTTGGTCCGAACTTCGAGTTTTGACCAAGCGGGCCCGGGGTCGGTTTTTGACTTTTTCGGAAAAATATTGGAAAACCTATAATTATGCATTAAAATTGATTTCTTTAGCAATAATTAATGTTATTAAGTTAATTATGACTAGATACAAGTGGATTGGAGGTGGAATCGAGAGATAAAGTGGTAATTGAGCTTTGAATTGCCTCTTGGATTGAGGTAAGTGTTTGGTCTAACTTTGACTCGAGGGATTAGGGATCCCCGACTTAGTTGCTATGTGAAATTCCATGTGTGTGGTGTATAGGTATGGTAACGAGTATCTATGCGCCGCCAAATAATTTGTTTAGCTTTTTCTTTTTCCCTTTCCCAATATATTGTTTTCCTATCCTAATTGCTACATGCTTATTGATGCTTTCATGTCTAATTGCTTCTTGTTAGGTGTAGTTTTCTTTATTGAAGGTATTAATTGTTCCGTAGTTTCATTGTATTACATTATTGGCATAAGTTGGGTTATTGGTGTTTCATGATACATTTTGGTTGGTCTTGCTGTGTAGCAATAATTGATGAGATTTAATAATTGTATAGATTTTTGTTTGATTCGGTTGAGGCATAAATGTTATGGAGGGTTTGAGCTAAATTGTAAAATACTCATTCTTATTGTGTGATTGGTACTGATATGGTGGGATCGGGTTGCACGCCGCAACAAGAGGAATAAGGGTGAAATGTGATTTTCTGGTGGGATCGAGTTATGCGCCGCAACAAGGAGTAATAAGGGTGGACAGATGGGATCGAATTGCACGCCGCAATAGGTGAAATAAGGGTGATATATTGAGGAGTAATAAGGGTGGACTGGTGGGATCGGGTTGCACACCGCAACAAGGAGTAATAAGGGTGAATGTTCATATTATTAGTGATTATATGGTGGGATCGCAATGCGCTGCGTATTATTTTGTTGTTTATGTATTTTTCCTCTGTTGTGATTCTATTTTGTAGTATTCTAACTCTCTTAAGGATTGGTTATAGCTGAGTACTAGCAAGATAAATGAGTTCCGTCTTTATTTTTATTGCAAATCACTGTTCCATTTCGTCTCGTATTTCCTTTTGCTTTATTATCAACTATATGCATGTTTTATTGTAAATGTCTCGCCTTAGCCTCGTCACTACCTCGTCGATGTTAGGCTCGGCATTTACTCGTACATGGGGTCGGTTGTACTGATACTGCACTCTGCACTTTCTATGCAGATTTTGGAGCTGGTTGTGGTTGATCGAGAGGTCGGTTGCAAGCATTCATTAAGGAGACTCAAGGTAGTCCTATAGGCGTCCGCAGCCCCTGGCATCCCCTCATTTGTTCTACATTCCTATTTTATTTTCTTTCGAGACAGATGTACTTTTCTTTCAGACCATTACTTATAGATATTCATAGAATGTTCGTGGGTTGTGACACCAGTTTTTGGGTGGTAACTGTTTCGGTTTTGTTAATAGTATAATGATAATTAGTTAAATATGTACTTCTATTTTTATTTCTGTTTGAATTAGCTTTTGTTAATCTTATCTATGAAAATGTAAAAGAAAAAAGTGATTATAACTCTAACGTTGGCTTACATAGCGAGTGCGATGCTAGGCGCCATCACAGTCTCAACAGTGGAAAAT